TCTGTAACACCCTGCACTGTACGGACGGCTCTGTAACACCCTGCACTGTACGGACGGCTCTGTAACACCCTGCACTGTTTGGACGGCTCTGCAATCACTGATTATATATTTTTCCTGCCTTTTCTCCAGGCTCCACATTCGCACTCCGGGGAAAGGTGCATCCGATGACGAACTTCTTCCAATTACAAATACCTTCAAATGTGTACAAGGTGAGAGATCCTCTGTTCCTGGAACGATTGTGTAAATCGGTGTGATGGCGATGTGCAGGGACCCTCAGGAACCAATCAGATGTCACAGAATAGAAGGGAGAAAGCGATTGGTTTAGGTTGGGATGAGGAAGGATCAGACCCTCTGGCAGTGCGGTCTGTGTCCCAGCCGGGTGGTTTGTCCTCTCTTCCTGTACCGGTGACCACACAAGAAGGAAAGAGAATCCTCAGTTTCAGGAATAGTGCCCCATCATTGGTGTCAGTGGGAGGAATAGTGCCCCATCATTGGTATCAGTGGAGGAATAGTGCCCCATCATTAATACCAGTGGGAGGAATAGTGCCCCATCATTGGTGTCAGTGGGAGGAATAGTGCCCCATCATTGGTGTCAGTGGGAGGAATAGTGCCCCATCATTGGTATCAGTGGGAGGAATAGTGCCCCATCATTGGTATCAGTGGGAGGAATAGTGTCCCATCATTGGTGTCAGTGGGAGGAATAGTGTCCCATCATTGGTATCAGTGGGAGGAATAGTGCTCCATCATTGGTATCAGTGGGAGGAATAGTGCCCCATCATTGGTATCAGTGGAGGAATAGTGCCCCATCATTGGTGTCAGTGGGAGGAATAGTGTCCTGCCCCATCATTGGTATCAGTGGGAGGAATAGTGTCCCATCATTGGTATCAGTGTGGGAGGAATAGTGCCCATCATTGGTATCAGTGGGAGGAATAGTGCCCCATCATTGGTGTCAGTGGGAGGAATACTGTCCCATCATTGGTATCAGTGGGAGGAATAGTGCCCCATCATTGGTGTCAGTGTGGAGGAATAGTGTCCCATCATTGGTATCAGTGGGAGGAATAGTGTCCCATCATTGGTATCAGTGGGAGGAATAGTGCCCCATCATTGGTGTCAGTGGGAGGAATAGTGCCCCATCATTGGTGTCAGTGGGAGGAATAGTGCCCCATCATTGGTGTCAATAGAAGGAATAGTGCCCCATCATTGGTATCAGTGGGAGGAATAGTGCCCCATCATTGGTGTCAGTGGGAGAAATAGTGCACCATCATTGGTGTCAGTGGGAGGAATAGTGCCCCATCATTGGTATCAGTGGGAGGAATAGTGTCCCATCATTGGTGTCAGTGGGAGGAATAGTGCCCCATCATGGTATCAGTGGGAGGAATAGTGCCCCATCATTGGTGTCAGTGGGAGGAATAGTGCCCCATCATTGGTGTCAGTGGGAGGAATAGTGCCCCATCATTGGTGTCAGTGGGAGGAATAGTGCCCCATCATTGGTGTCAGTGGGAGGAATGGTGCCCCATCATTGGTGTCAGTGGAAGGAATAGTGCCCCATTATTGGTATCAGTGGGGAGGAATAGTGCCCCATCATTGGTGTCAGTGGGAGGAATAGGTCCCCCATCATTTGGTGTCAGTGGGAGGAATAGTGCCCCATCATTGGTGTCAGTGGGAGGAATAGTGCCCCATCATTGGTGTCAATGGGAGGAATAGTGCCCCATCGTTGGTGTCAATGGGAGGAATAGTGCCCCATCGTTGGTGTCAGTGGGATGAATAGTGCCCCATCGTTGGTGTCAGTGGGAGGAATAGTGCCCCATCATTGGTGTCAGTGGAGGAATAGTGCCCCATCGTTGGTGTCAGTGGAGGAATAGTGCCCCATCATTGGTATCAGTGGGAGGAATAGTGCCCCATCATTGGTATCAGTGGGAGGAATAGTGCCCCATCATTGGTGTCAGTGGGAGGAATAGTGCCCCATCATTGGTATTCATGGGAGGAATAGTGCCCCATCATTGTATCAGTGGGAGGAATAGTGCCCCATCATTGGTGTCAGTGGGAGGAATAGTGCCCCATCATTGGTGTCAGTGGGAGGAATAGTGCCCCATCATTGGTATCAGTGGGAGGAATAGCGCCCTATCATTGGTATTCATGGGAGGAATAGTGCCCCATCATTGGTGTCAGTGGGAGGAATAGTGCCCCATCATTGGTGTCAGTGGGAGGAATAGTGCCCCATCGTTGGTGTCAATGGGAGGAATAGTGCCCCATCATTGGTGTCAATGGGAGGAATAGTGCCCCATCATTGGTGTCAATGGGAGGAATAGTGCCCCATCGTTGGTGTCAGTGGGATGAATAGTGCCCCATCGTTGGTGTCAGTGGGAGGAATAGTGCCCCATCGTTGGTGTCAGTGGGAGGAATAGTGCCCCATCATTGGTGTCAGTGGGAGGAATAGTGCCCCATCGTTGGTGTCAGTGGGGGGAATAGTGCCCCATCATTGGTGTCAGTGGGAGGAATAGGGCCCCATTGTTGGTGTCAGTAGCAGGAATTATGCCCCATTGTTGGTGTCAGTGGGAGGAAAGTGCCTCAAGGTCCGGATAAAGACAAGCAAAGGACCGTATTCGGCCCCCGGGCCGCAGTTTGGAGACCACTGGCCTAGGCGATCGCAGCGGAAAGTGGGAGCGAGTACCTGTCAATTTCAGGTACCCACTACCTACCTCCCCCCGTCCCCCAAAGTGACAATCTTTACCGGGGAGTGGGGGCCAGTCATTAAAGCGAAAAAGCGGAACTTCACCTTTTGTGTGGAGCTCTCCTTTAAGATTCTGCCATTCACATTCATTAGATGCGGATCGCACTGGTAGGACCGGCACTGACTATTGAACATTGTGGGAGTTTATTTACTAAAACCGAAGAGTACAAAATCCGGTGCAGCTCCGCATAGTAACCCAATCAGCTTCCAGGTTTCATTGCCAAAGCTTCATTGGAAAAGCTGAAGGTGGAAGCTGATTGGCTGCCATGTACAGCTGCACCAGATTCTGAGTGCTCCAGTTTTAGTGAATATGAATCTCTGGTATGTAGTTCCTGTGTGTGACTTCAGGAGGGCCGGGTGTTCTTCCTGCTGTGGAGTGCTCAGCCTCTTCATGCAGAGGAACCATAGATCACCCTTCATGCAGGTGAACCGTAGATCACTCTTCATGCAGATCAACCATAGATCACTCTTCATGCAGATCAACCATAGATCTCCCTTCATGCAGGTGAACCGTAGATCACTCTTCATGCAGATGAACCGTAGATCACTCTTCATGCAGGTGAATCGTAGATCACTCTTCATGCAGGTGAAACGTAGATCACTCTTCATGCAGGTGAACCGTAGATCACTCTTCATGCAGGTGAACCGTAGATCACCCTTCATGCAGGTGAACCGTAGATCACCCTTCATGCAGGTGAACCGTAGATCACCCTTCATGCAGGTGAACCGTAGATCACCCTTCATGCAGGTGAACCGTAGATCACCCTTCATGCAGGTGAACCGTAGATCACCCTTCATGCAGGTGAACTGTAGATCACCCTTCATGCAGGTGAACCGTAGATCACCCTTCATGCAGGTGAACCGTAGATCACCCTTCATGCAGGTGAACCGTAGATCACCCTTCATGCAGGTGAACCGTAGATCACCCTTCATGCAGGTGAACCGTAGATCACCCTTCATGCAGATGAACCGTAGATCACCCTTCATGCAGGTGAACCGTAGATCACCCTTCATGCAGGTGAACCGTAGATCACCCTTCATGCAGGTGAACCGTAGATCACCCTTCATGCAGGTGAACCGTAGATCACCCTTCATGCAGGTGAACCGTAGATCACCCTTCATGCAGGTGAACCGTAGATCACCCTTCATGCAGGTGAACCGTAGATCACCCTTCATGCAGGTGAACCGTAGATCACCCTTCATGCAGGTGAACCGTAGATCACCCTTCATGCAGGTGAACCGTAGATCACCCTTCATGCAGGTGAACCGTAGATCACCCTTCATGCAGGTGAACCGTAGATCACCCTTCATGCAGGTGAACCGTAGATCACCCTTCATGCAGGTGAACCGTAGATCACCCTTCATGCAGGTGAACCGTAGATCACCCTTCATGCAGGTGAACCGTAGATCACCCTTCACGCAGGTGAACCGTAGATCACCCTTCACGCAGGTGAACCGTAGATCACCCTTCACGCAGGTGAACCGTAGATCACCCTTCATGCAGGTGAACCGTAGATCACCCTTCATGCAGGTGAACCGTAGATCACCCTTCATGCAGGTGAACCGTAGATCACCCTTCATGCAGGTGAACCGTAGATCACCCTTCATGCAGGTGAACCGTAGATCACCCTTCATGCAGGTGAACCGTAGATCACCCTTCATGCAGGTGAACCGTAGATCACCCTTCATGCAGGTGAACCGTAGATCACCCTTCATGCAGGTGAACCGTAGATCACCCTTCATGCAGGTGAACCGTAGACACCCTTCATGCAGGTGAACCGTAGATCACCCTTCATGCAGGTGAACCGTAGATCACCCTTCATGCAGGTGAACCGTAGATCACCCTTCATGCAGGTGAACCGTAGATCACCCTTCATGCAGGTGAACCGTAGATCACCCTTCACGCAGGTGAACCGTAGATCACCCTTTACGCAGTGAACCGTTCACCCTTTACGCAGGTGAACCGTAGATCACCCTTCACGCAGGTGAACCGTAGATCACCCTTCACGCAGTGAACCGTAGATCACCCTTCACGCAGGTGAACCGTAGATCACCCTTCACGCAGGTGAACCGTAGATCACTCGTTGTGATGAATGATGAAAGCCATGTTATTGGTTAATCTGTAACTGTGTGTTCACCATCCGTTAGAGATTTGCATCATCCTCATCCTTCCTGAGCGCTCTTCCCTTTTCTATGTTTATCTGATCTCCTTTTCTCTTCTACCTTCCAGAAGCGGAGGAGCCCCTTCTCATCGACATCTCCACTAACAGTACAGTACGTATCCCTCTCCCTGTCCTCCTTACCTGCAGGTTTACTTCCACGGGGGCATCTAACTAAAACTAATCTGAAAGCGACCTTGTGTTTTTTGAAAAAGAAACTTGCTGGCCAGATAGAAAATAAAAGAAAGCCTAAAAGAGAAAACTAATGCAGCCATCACATCTAAGAATTGTTAAACTGCAATCTAATAAATGCTTACTTTTGGGTTTAATACTACTTTTAAAGCATAACTCCAGTTACATTTTTTTTTTTTTTTGAGTCAACTGCTCGTTTTGTCCAGGGGCCCCCCCAAAAAGGCTATACTTACCCGATCCTTCGAATCCTCTCGAAAATATTGTTCCCCCACATCCAGCAGTCGGTCTACGGGCGTGATGACGTCCATTCAGACTAGCTAGCCTGCAGGGGGACAGAAGTGATAGGATCCGATCTTGCACTTGGAGGATCAACGGATTAGGCAAGTACAGTTAGGTCCATATATATTTGGACACAGGCACAATTTTAGTTTTTTTCAGTTATTGACCAAAACCTATTCAGGCTATAGTTATATGATGGATTTGGGCTGAAAGTGCGCACTCTCCGGTGTAATTTGAGGGTCTGTACATCCAGATTGGAGGAAGGGTTTAAGAATTACAGATCTTAAGAGTAGCCAACCCCCCCTTTTTTAAGGGACCAAAAGTAATTGGACAAATGAATAGATTCATAAAGAAAATGTTGATTTGTAATAATTTGTTGAGAATCCTTTACTGGCAATGACTGCCAGAAGTCCGAAACCCATGGACCTTTACCAAAGACTGGGTTTCCTCCTTTCTGATGCTTTGCCTGAAGTCTGGAACCCATGGACCTTACCAAAGACTGGGTTTCCTCCTTTCTGATGCTTTGCCTGAAGTCCAGAACCCATGGACATGACCAAACACTGGGTTTCCTCCTTTCTGATGCTTTGCCTGAAGTCCGGAACCCATGGACATGACCAAAGACTGGGTTTCCTCCTTTCTGATGCTTTGCCTGAAGTCTGGAACCCATGGACATGACCAAACACTGGGTTTCCTCCTTTCTGATGCTTTGCCTGAAGTCCGGAACCCATGGACATGACCAAACACTGGGTTTCCTCCTTTCTGATGCTTTGCCTGAAGTCCGGAACCCATGGACATGACCAAACACTGGGTTTCCTCCTTTCTGATGCTTTGCCTGAAGTCCGGAACCCATGGACATGACCAAACACTGGGTTTCCTCCTTTCTGACATGATGCTTTGCCTGAAGTCCGGAAACCCATGGACATGACCAAACACTGGGTTTCCTCCTTTCTGATGCTTTGCCTGAAGTCCGGAACCCATGGACATGACCAATCACTGGGTTTCCTCCTTTCTGATGCTTTGCCTGAAGTCCGGAACCCATGGACATGACCAAACACTGGGTTTCCTCCTTTCTGATGCTTTGCCTGAAGTCCGGAACCCATGGACATGACCAAACACTGGGTTTCCTCCTTTCTGATGCTTTGCCTGAAGTCTGGAACCCATGGACATGACCAAACACTGGGTTTCCTCCTTTCTGATGCTTTGCCTGAAGTCTGGAACCCATGGACATGACCAAACACTGGGTTTCCTCCTTTCTGATGCTTTCCTCCTTTCTGATGCTTTGAAGTCTGGAACCCATGGACATGACCAAAGACTGGGTTTCCTCCTTTCTGATGCTTTGCCTGAAGTCTGGAACCCATGGACATTACCAAAAGTTACAATAGAAGTAATGATAATCAGCGTAAATACTGGACCAAAGTCAGAAAAGTCTAGTAGTGTTTAGAAATAGTCCGGGTGACTTGGATAAGGGGGGGTCCGTGTGGCACTCAGGGCAAGCTCCATGCAGTACTGTAGCAGACTCTGTAGTAAGGAGAGAACAAGAAGCGCCTCTAAGTGCAGCAGACCACTTTAATATATAATAGTAGGAACACTCACATGGTAGTAGAGTAATAAAAGCATGTAGGGTATTGTGGTGTAGAAACACCATGTAGAACGGCTGTCACTGGTTCCTGTATCGTCCGCGTCTCAATGGTAGGGAGCGTGGTTCAGGAGGGAGACAGATGTGGAGCCGGCTGGCACGCATGCACACACTCCTCAAGATGGCGGCTGGAGCGCGCGCTGAACCGCAACGTCGGCGTAGGCGTGATGACGTCAGTGATCAAGATGCAATGCGACGGGTTTTGGAGCATGTGCTGGCCTCTAGTGGCGGAAGCGCGCTCCTTTCTCAAGCAGGGGCATTTCCTCAGTTTTCTCTCCCCCCTCCAGTGATCAGACTGCAACATTGTAACTTTGTAGTATATCACAAGGTGAAAAGCTGCAGCAGGGACCTTTGTGAACACATGACCTGGAACTGCACACGCATCAGAATTTGTCATCTCTGTGCTGGCATCTCAGTCCGGGAAGTAGATGGCAACCCCTGGATGATGGCTGAATAAAGACGGCGCCGTCCTTCTGGAGAGAAAAATGGAGGTCAAGGCATTGTCGGGGGGGGGGGGGGGGGTGCTGAGATGATATACATTGCTTAGCGTGTATACACTCAGTATAAAGCCAGGTTCATGGTACTGCATGTTGGGAACACGCAAAATCACAGGCTTTCCCATCCTGCTGAGAAACGCATTGCCATGCAGAGACACACAGCAGTGCCATCAGTTGTTAACCACTTCCTGTCCGGCCGTTGTATATAAACGGCCAGACAATGGCAGTGCAGGGTTGGGTGGGCGTCTATAAACGGCCTCCCCGTGCGCGATTCCTGGGAGTGCGCAGCACCGCGATCCGGTGCCTGCTGTGTCCTCCGGAGACAGTGGAACACCGTTCGTCGGACGGGTCAATCAGTGATCACATGCAGAGTAGTAAGCAAGATGTCACTTCTGCTTACTACGTGTGAAATCTGTGAATGATCACAGAGGTCACATGGTACAGGGCTATTCACAACAGCCTTGTGTACATGTGACAAGCTGTGACCAATCACAGCTCACGCAGTAGTTCTCAATAGCTGCAAGAATGCAGCCAGAGAGAAAGAGAAATGATTGCTTTTACAGCCTTTATGGGTGTGAAAGCAATCAGTGTAAAAAAAAAAATCTTCATCACCCCCCACAAGTAGTACAGTGTCACCATGGCTAGGGTGTAAAAAAAAAAGACAGTAATAAAAAAAAAATAAAAAAAAAAAATGTAAAAAAATTATGTTTTTGGTTATAAACTAATTTGGGTTATTTTTTTTTTTTTTTTTTTACTAAAAAGATAACAGAATACATTTTGGCCAAGATTTATGATGAAATATTATTTATTTGCTAATTTTTATAAGAAAAACACTCTTTTTCAAAATCTTTGGACTTTTTCATTTACATAGCAAAAAAAAAAAAAAAAATATCCCAGTGGTGAATAAATACCACCAAAATAAAGCTTTCTCTGTCTCAAAAAAATCTAAAAAATTCATATGAGTTGCATGACCGCGCAATTGTCATTCAAAGAGTGATAGCGCTAGCGCTGAAAATGGGCCTGACAGAAGGGGGTGAAAGTGTCCGGACTGGAAGGGGGTGAAAGTGTCCGGACTGGAAGGGGGTGAAAAAGTGTCCAGACTGGAAGGGGGTGAAAGTGTCCGGACTGGAAGGGGGTGAAAGTGTCCGGACTGGACTGGGGGAAAGTGTCCGGAAAGGGGGGGAAAGTGTCCGGACTGGAAGGGGGGGAAAGTGTCCGGACTGGAAGGGGGGAAAGTGTCCGGACTGGAAGGGGGGGAAAGTGTCCGGACTGGAAGGGGGGGAAAGTGTCCGGACTGGAAGGGGGGGAAAGAAAGTGTCCGGACTGGAAGGGGGGGAAAGTGTCCGGACTGGAAGGGGGGGAAAGTGTCCGGACTGGAAGGGGGGGAAAGTGTCCGGACTGGAAGGGGGGGAAAGTGTCCGGACTGGAAGGGGGGGGAAAGTGTCCGACTGGAAGGGGGGGAAAGTGTCCGGACTGGAAGGGGGGAAAGTGTCCGGACTGGAAGGGGGGGAAAGTGTCCGGACTGGAAGGGGGGGAAAGTGTCCGGACTGGAAGGGGGGGAAAGTGTCCGGACTGGAAGGGGGGGAAAGTGTCCGGACTGAAGGGGGGAAAGTGTCCGGACTGGAAGGGGGGAAAGTGTCCACCCTGGAAGGGGGGGAAAGTGTCCACCCTGGAAGGGGGTGAAAGTGTCCGGACTGGAAGGGGGGGAAAGTGTCCGGACTGGAAGGGGGGGAAAGTGTCCGGACTGGAAGGGGGGGAAAGTGTCCCGGACTGGAAGGGGGGGAAAGTGTCCGGACTGGAAGGGGGGGAAAGTGTCCGGACTGGAAGGGGGGGGAAAGTGTCCGGACTGGAAGGGGGGGAAAGTGTCCGGACTGGAAGGGGGGGGGGGAAAGTGTCCGGACTGGAAGGGGGGGAAAGTGTCCGGACTGAAAGGGGGGGAAAGTGTCCGGACTGAAAGTGGTTAATGGCAGCCCCACGCGTGTGAATGCGCCTCGTTTTTGCACATGTCAACCACCATGCAATTTAACTCTTAAAAGAGCAGAACCCCAATGAGATTTGGAAGCCTCCTTGCATTCATGGAGGAGTTTGTTCTCCGTAACACCAAACCGAGCATGGCATTAATGGGAAGCCACCATGCGTCTTCAGTGTGTGCAGATTTGGAGGTATTCCTGCACAATCCAACACTTTAGGAAGTGTGAACTTCAGGGCCAATATCTGTGCTTGGGACTGTTGGTGGTGCTTCTGTGCAGCTATACTGGAGGTGTGGTAGGGTGTGCAGACAGATGCCCATACATCAGGTGGTGGGATCACATTGGTTGGATCCATAAGAGGGGGTCGTTGATGCATCTTCTCAAGGCTGGAGAGAAGTCCATTTCCTGGAATAGATGTTGTCGCCTCGTATATTACTTCCATGGGCTCTTAGCAGAGAAGTCTGAGATCGGCATCAACCCAAGAGACGTGTCTTTGTTGTAGGACTGAGGCTGTTATCTCTGATCATACCCAACTT